CGTATAAGAAGAGAGCATGTGACGTCCAGAGGACGCTGACTGAGCGATGAGTAACGCTGAGTAAGGGAGCATAATCGACATAAGGTCAGATAGTCCATGGCTGAGTAATGCGAGTAATCCGGACGCTGTCTAGAATAGTCCGGAACATCGTAGAACGTACCAGAATCATGTGGAGGGATGGCAGGATGCCAAGTAAGTACAGAACAAAAGAATGTACGTATATGGTAAGTAGGAAAGTCCATGCTGGCGTATGGTAGACGCACAGCCACTATCACTGCCACTCCCGGTCCGGCACAGCCGTAGACACAGAAGTTCAACATTGAACACGCAGGCCGCGCGGACGAAGGCGAAAGTGTAGGCGTGCGGTAGCGCTTGCGCAAATTCTGGGCACCGGGCCCGAAGATGAGAAGAGGAATGGGGTCGTGCAGGTCGAGGAAGAGAAACCGAGATATGATCGCGTTGTGGGTGCTCGGCCATACGGTAATGGACAAATGGCTTAGCTTCGAACCGGACGTTCAGGGAGGAGGTGCTCCATCTCGAGTAGATCATCTTCGTGTAGCTTAATGGCTTGCTGGAGCTCCGAAGTAGTTCGATAGATGCGGGGGGTAAGAATCGTGTTCCAAACTCGCGGGGCGCCTGCCATGATGTCGGAAATGAGCTCGCTTTCGGAGTTCTCGTATGCGAGTTCGAGCAATTCACGCTTACGGATGAAATACTGACTCGGGAGTTCCCGTGGGCACCCGCTGTCCCTGTATCGTATGGCGAGAGCCTGCTTCCTGGTCTTCTCCATCCACGACCTGTTCATGAAGTAGTCGCCGATCTGATTACGGATATATTCCCAGTCCTGTTCACACGCTTCACGTACATGCTCGGGAAGGGAAAAGTACCATATCTCAGCATCGCCTGTCAGCCTTTGAGGTACTACCATACCTAGTTGCTGACGGATAGTAGCTGACTTCTTAGCTATGGAGTTGACGCGAATGATCCATCGCGCGAGCGTGGCGGTATCGCCGTCCCATGTCGGTACAACGTCCATCTTGAGCTTGAAATCAAAATGAGCTTCGAATGTTCGACGAGTGGACACGAGAGGGACTGACACCTTCTGTGGCTCCCGCGATTGCGCGCGACGGCGTTGCGAAGGTTGACGTCTGCGGGCAGTAGAGTCGCTCCCTTCGTCGCTACTTGAATCGCTTGGATCAGGATCACTACCAGCGGCGCGTCGGTGCCTAGTGTATCGCGTTTCGTGCGGTGACCTACGTGGTGCTTCGCGTCGCTCATCCTGCGAGTTTCGTCCCAATCGTCTTGGTGGGTCGCGTTCATAGCTAGAGCCGTCGTAGCGGCGCCGCCCGTGATTGTCAGGGTCCTGCTCGGCGGTCTTCGTCAGTTTGAACAGTTGCTTGAAACTTGATGATCCCTGGAGGTCTGGTACGGGACTTGCACGGCGTCGCAAGTGGCTCGAGTAGCGGCTCGCGTGATCGTGAGGGCTTGATGAAAGCGGAGCCGCATGGTACATTTGAGCACGTCGGTCTTCTTCTGCGACAGTATGACGTCCTTCAGAAGGGGAGCGAGCACGTCGGCGGAGCTGTTGGTTGACAACGTCGGTCTTGCGATCTTCGCGGGCCGATGGGGGAGCTTTGCTGATCAGCGCACTCTCCTTCTTCAATGATGTTGAGAGATGTGGCGACGATGGCCTGTCCTTGAAAGGTGTTCGAAACGGATCGGCAGGGATTGGTCCGAGAACTTGCTTACCCTTGGGTCCGACTGCGACGTGATCCTCTTCGCTCGGTGGAAGGACCGGCCTCAGGCTTGTCTTGAAATCATAGAGTGTGGTGAGCTGTGCTAGGAAGGCTTCCACCTCGCGTCTGAAGCACGCGCCTAAGATCTCGAAGTCGTTCGCGCAAAATGCGTACCTTATATATTCGGGACCCTTTCCCCACGTCGGGAGAGGCGGAAGAAGACGCTTTTGATCCCGGAAGATGGGTTTCGCTTCGGCGAGGCGGTTTCCTAACGCATCCATTAGCTGATCGTGGTCCTCTTCGTCAATGAAGAAAGCCGGCTCCTCTGTCGTGCCATCCTTCCATACATACCCAACAACTTGATCTAAGAGTTGCAACTCCTGCTTGAAAGTGATACACTCCGACCTGCTCAATGTGAGAGGATTAGGAAGGTGCAAAACGTCTCGGTCGGGTCCGAGATGCTGGTACCCGTACGCACAGGCATCCTTCAGGCGCTCGCGCAAAATCGGGTCACCTTTGAACTTGTAGCTGGCGGTTGCGCAGAGAGGAAACAGACCGGCGGTTGGTCCACGCACCACGCGGTCGTCGTCTTCTTCGACCTCGGGCAATGGTCGAAACTGATCACTGAGGATGCAGTGCAGCTTCGAGATGTCTTCGCGATCACCGTCCAATCGACGGGAGCGATTCTTGCGAAAGGCCTTGCCCGGGGTCCTCGGAGTAGACGGCTGAGCTTGCGCGTCGTCACGACGGTCAGATGAACCTCCCTGGGTGTTCGCTGCTGCGCTCTGCTGAGCGGTGGAGAAAGACATAACTTGATAATTAGCTGGAATGAGACTGGTCGAATCGAGGGATTTCCCAGTGCGTCCACCAGTGTTGTAAATACGGTCTTACGAGAATGAGAATGAGCTGAGATAGAATCCTTCGTCGACGAGTCCTCGAGTCGAATGGGCGATAGGGCCGCTGAAGAGGTAGCGTGTATAGTAGCGCGTAGCTTACTATGCTTACTTCAACCTGTAAACAGAGCTAATCTTGTCCACTTAGAACGGCGTTAGATCACACTTAGACGCTGAGAGCGCGGGTACGTTGGATGGTAAAAAGGCTGAATTCCGAGGCTCTGAGAGCCTGTCCTTATATACATCTTGAGATACAAACACTAGAGGCTTCTACACAAGTCGAGAGATCAGACAGAAAGGTCAAAGAAAGGTTGAGCGAGAAGGAGAAAGGACGAGAGGGACAAAGGAATCAAATAGAAGGCACTCGAAACTAGTCGAATTGACCGTACGTGTCGAGACTAAGCTAACCTAGTGTCTATTGTAACGTAATCCACAACACACTCTCCTCCACCGCCCTCCCGTCCGCCATCCTCGTATCCGACGCCGCCCTCACGCGACCAAAGCACGCGGCCCTGCTCGCGCGACTCGTCGCGTACGCCCGCGGCGGCGGGTGCGTCGTGCTCGGCATGCAGCTGAGCAGCCACTTCCAGATGGGCCTCATCGGGCCCTTCTTCCGCGCATGGGGCCTCGCGTGGGACTGGGGCTCGCTCCACCGCACGACCTTCAGCCTGAACCCGGCGGGCGTGCCCGCGCCGCTCGACCCCAGCACGCTCTTCCCGGCGTGCAGCATGCAGGCGCTGCACGTGTCATATAATCATAATCGTTTTGATAATCGACCGCGAGTATCGAACCTCATAAATCTCGCGACTCGGAGCAACGGGGTATTAATCTCCGCCTACTTTTTGTTCTGTGGCGCACCTCCGACCACGCGTGCTTCCCTCACTCATGTGGCCCTGTACTCATCTCCCCATGTGCAGTTCTCAGGCCTCAGGCCTCGCAACATTGCCCGAGACCCCTAAAGCTTTTTTGTCCGCTGAATCTGCGCCAACGTCCCCCCAAACTCAACGCTGTATAGCGTGTGTAGCGACCCACCGTTTTCCGAGTCCATTTTTCCCCTTCCAATTCATATCCGTTCTGGGACCTAAGGCGGAGGACCCGCATCGCTGGATATATGCTGCAGTCACAAACCGCCGTCATATCCCTAGGATTTTTCTTGCGATAGAGAACGCCGCAACATAGAGCCGTCCTCCTCGGAAGCCGCCCGGTGCGGAGCCACCCGCCAACTGCAGAACGTTCGCTGCAGCCTACGTAATCGCTTGCAGTTTGGACGTCGGGACGCTGCTTCTCATGCGCGTCGCGGGAATGACGAGCTCGGGTGGACGTTGAGTAGAAGGACTCGGTAGATGGGAGGCGCAGGATCGGCACGGGGGCCCGCTTCTTGACGGGCGGGCGGCTTCGCGTTCTTGGGAGCGTTCCGCCGGGGCGCGTTCGGCGCAGATTCAACGGTGCTCGCATTTGTCTGCGCTGGGATCGACGGCGTTCCGGCTGGAGTCATCTAGCAGGGCCGAGTTCGCGTTTGTCTTCGTCTTCGACTTCGAGATTGATCATGGGCCGCAGCCCGTCCTTGGATCTTCCCCCACGTCTTCCAGTAGGCTGTATGCGCACAGTCAGCGTTGGAGGGCGTACGGTATGTGGCAATAGACGCACCGCGTGCGCGCCAGATCTGCGGCGCTGGAACGATCGTGTTTCGACGGACCTATACCATCAACTCAGCTCCTCCTGCAGGGGCGGCGGGCGGCGATCCGGCGCCTCCCCCAGATGCATATCCGCGCCGAAGCCCTGCACTGCCGAGCGTGTTCGCGTGCGGGCGGCGGTTCTGCGCACGCCCACAACCCCTCACTTCCGAACAGTCGAAGGCGTGCGTCATCGGGAGAGCATCCCGACGAGCCCACCCCCATGACGGCGGCACCCACCATGTCATCGAAATACAAATACCTGCTGGGCACCCTCCTCGAAGACGAGCGCAAGGTTTCATGCTGCCGTGACACAGCAGCCCGCGCTGCCGACATACGCACCCCAAACCACACCCGCTGTGCGGCACATTACACCCACCGGACGGGCCCGGGGCGTGCCCGCACCGCCAGCTCGCACATTATGACGGCACGCCTGCGAATCCGCCGCAGAAGCACGCTAAATGCGGAGATATGGAGCCGGGAATGGCGGCGCTGCTCCCGCTTCGAGTGGACGCGGGGACGGATTTGGGTCGTTGCTGGAGAGCGCTGGAAAGTGCACAAGCGCTTCTGGAGCGTTCGGACGGCCGCGAGTTGAAGGGAGGTGAGGGAGAACGCGCTGGGCGCGCGGGGGTCTGCCGGTTCTTTGATGCATTGCGTCCCGAGTCATTTTTGCTGGACGTGCGGGGGCGAGCTTGGGACACTCTTGACAAGGAGAGCATGCAGCTGTGGTCGCATGAAAGGTGGAAATTGCGGGTGCGGTTCGGATCTTGTCCAGCCACCACCAGCACTGCTCGCAACCTTGCCCTGCATGCGCACCGGACCTGGCAGGTGCACGGTTAGATTCCGGTGAGACGTTTTACCGTGGACGACTTGACGTGAGCCCTGGGCGTACCTGCTTCGAATTCTATCCCAGCGGTAGGTTATGTCGTCCGCAGAGAAGGAGAAGAAGTGCTGGCCGTGCACCACGGCGTCGTTTCCGAGTAGGGTAGTACGCCTGCCGAATTTGTGCTATGAGATCAATAATTCAGGAACGGCACGAACAGTCGAGAATGCTAAGCGGTAGGATCGCGCGCGAGCACCCACAGCAGACGTCGGCCGCTTGGAGCTTACCAGGCCGGAACTCTCCAGCCGCAGGCCCAGCAGCCTGAGCACAAGGAAGCCGCGTACCGTTCACCCTGCCAGATCTGGCAGCGCGCGCGCCAACGCACCGTCCCACATATTCCTACAGAACGACAAAGCAAGAGGAGATCGAAGTCCCTCGCGAGACCTCGCCGCGCCCTGCTCTTCGATGATCTGCAGTGCGGGGTCTGGCGCCGGCTCGAGGACGAATGCGAATGCGAAGGCGAATGCGGGCTAGCCCCCGTCGCTGTCACCGCGCGAGTGAATGGGATCTCGGGGCGGGGCGTCTGATCAGCTGGCAGCTGGATCTGCCTGGGAGGCGAGGTAGCGCGGTAAATCGTGTGCGGGGACGCGAACAGTACCTCGCCCTGGCCCGGCGTCCGTCTCCGTCGCACCGATGCGCGCCGTTCCCCATGCGCCGTGAGACGTGCGGGGGCCCCGG